AGGGAGGCCTGGGTTCACGAAGGCTGCCTGCGCCCCACCGGGCTGGCCGGCCTCTGGCAGGTGAGGGACCTGCGCCACAGGCTGCCGCTCCAAAACGATGGCGTCCGGGAGCACGGGGAGCGGGCAGAGCTCTGCTGCCTTCGCGGGAGCTGCCAGGACCGACTTGTGCGGCCCAACGCTGCAACACGCTATCTCCACGTCAGGGACACACGTGCCCTCATCGGCCTGCGGCTGCAGGTGCTGCGGAGCAGGGGGAGCTTCGGAAGGCTCCTCCAGCAAGGCGGCACGGGGGGCAGGAGCACCTGGCAGAGCAGGCATCGCTGCCTTCAGCGGAGAATACTCCAGCTGACCGCCGTTAGCAGCCACCTGCTCCAGGGTATTTGGAGCAGATCCTGGTAGTGCTGGAGCTGGAAACTCCGCCTGGCCGGGTAAGCTGGTGGAAGGTGCTGCGGCAGGAACTTGAGCCAAAGCTGGAGAGGCTCCGAGGGGGCTGTCACATACACCTGCTTGTAGGGGAAGCTGCTGACCAGCTAAGACACCAGGCCTGTCCGCCACCGCAGAGCTCGCTTGCTGATCATCCGACTGCTCCAGGTCTAGAAAGAGTAGAAACATCAGGTTAACTTTTTAATGAGCTGCACAGAATGAAAGAAAGTCACTGCAGAACCTCCTGGCTAGCTGCAGCAATAACCACTTAACCGTGGTTAACCGTAACCCATTAGCGCTTCATGTCAGAAAATAACTGTCATACAAGTCAAATTAGAACCTAAAATTGCAGTTTATACAAAAACATTTCACTGAAAAGACATCGTTTATTAAAACAGCAGTGACTATGACTTCAGCTGCCGTATAGCGTAAGGCAGAGTTAAAATACTGAGACTTCCCTGAAACTCAACATTCCTAACTTGGTTCAATACCAGGTCACACTTAAAATGCAGGACTTAACAAAATTAATCATTTTCTTCCTCTGACTAAATGAAGTGAAACAATCACAGCTAAGTCAGATGAGAACAGAAGAGAGATGACACAGCAGTCAAGTTTGTAAATACAGAGTCACAGAATGATTGAGGTTGGAAGAGACCTTCAAGATCACCAAGTCCAACCATCAACCCAGCACCACCATGCCCACTAAATACCTGGTCCTTCAGACTGCTGTGTACTCTGAGGTACTGGTGGAGAAAATTCTGGTGCATCAGTAGCAGGGTTTTCCACAACAGGACATATAATAAACCACCTTTTTCCAGTATGCAAAACTAGAGATGAAAAAAAGATAAAAAGTAAACACAAGAGCTTCCATTCATTCCAGATTATCTGTCAAAACCTAGTCTTAATTTCCACGTTTAGAAAGAGAATCAGAACTTCTACAGTATTAGCCGAAAATAAAACTATGGCTCCTGATCTGATTCTCATCCCTTTTGGAAGGGAAACAGTAATGCCTCCTGATTCTGCCAGATACTTTAAGTTACTTGAAAATTTATATTCAAGTGTTCGTGCTTTTAGGAGGGTAATAGTTGAACACATGAAAATTTTATTAATGGTACTGTGGACAGTCTTCTCACAATGAAAAATTTGTTGATTTTGTTATCTAGCTTAACTGTTCCATGTTGGAAGTTTTCTAGCTAATATTTCCTTCCACATCTTATCTCAAAGCTTGGCATATGTAATTGGCAAACCAGAACTAGACAGACTTTCTAACTTTCATTAGTAGAAATATAAATCCTATGTTAAAAAAGGTGTACTGAGAAAAATATGACATTTACAGGCAAAAAATAAACCAGATCATCTTTTGAGCACAAAGTTTAGTTTGGAGGATTCCCAGTTTCTGCACTTAAAGAAGTTCTAAGTTATCCTTCCCCTGTCACTGTGGAGCAAATACACGGTGCCACATGCTGTAACAAGAGTTTTGGGAATAATGCTTCAGCAGAGGTTTCACTTTTCCCACCAGTGTGCACGTAAGAGAGAATCAAGGGCCAATTCCCTTCCCATTGCATTTGTCTGTAAAAGCTGTAAGATATGACTGTGTTCAAAAGGCCAAGATCCCCCCTGTAATACCAACGTAGCTGAAAACTTACTGGTTAGAAATTTCAATTAAATAATGAACGCAAACATAATCTTTTAGCTTTCTCTTGCAAATGTAGTTATTGCTGTGAAAAGAGTATGCTTGCCTTTACCTCTTTGATTTTTTCACCACTGATTATCAGCTTGTGTAATTCAGGGCTTCCCTAAACATCCCCAGATATTAGATTCATCCAGGTTAGCCCTGCAATCTGCCAGGCTGCTAACAGCAGGGACCACTGTTGTACCCATATTTCCAGATACATTCCCAAACACCAGTAACTGGTGGATTTCTTCCTGAATCTAGCAAACTTCTGCATGAACTCGTCGTTGCCTTAAAGCCTGAGATTAAGTTTGTATTCAAAGGCACATTTACCATTTTGTTGATACATGGGTGTCTTCATTTGAGACTGCCGCTTCTCCTGTTAAAAACAACAAAGCACACAGTAGAAAAACTATGTCTCATATCAATGCAAGAGCAGCATTATTCCAAGGCACACTCATGTTGTAAGCCTTAATGGAGTAAAAGCATTATCTTTCTAGCCAAGAAACTTAATTTTTTTTTTTTTTTAAACACAGGGTGTAAAACTAATTTACAGTAACTGGCTGTTAAGAAAAAGGAATCAAACTCGAGATCTTTATTTAACATTTCTTACCTCACACATCTCCAGTCTATCACTATCTTGTTGGGGACTCGTTCCCTGATCAGAACTTCGTTCTCCTTCTGTATCCTCACTGAGCATATCTTCTGCTTTATCAATAATATCTTTCATTTGTTCAATAAATGTCTCTTTTTCACTCTGCAATATGAATTCATTCTCTACCTACAAGGCCACATCAAAACATAGAGGAAAACAGCAACGTTTCAATTAACACTCCATTCCACAGCTACAAGAAAGCTCAGTCAACAGGCATACATGAGAACAAGTTGGCTGAAGCAACTCGGTGTGTTAAGAGCCTGTGGGCAGCCGCATCACCAAGTCTTACCATGTAAGTAGCAATTTCCTCTGGCGCATCGCCATCCAAATCAAACTTAAAAGTCACCATTTTGTGATTGTGTGTTTCAAGCTGGCACTCCACCATCTTATCCCCTGTGTTACAAACCTGCCGGCAAAGATTAACAACAGTTATTTCTGGCAAAGCCAAAGGATTCCTAAAGTTACCCACAAAGAGGTTGTACTTGCATTTAATATGGTCAGTTTTGGTCTGCTGGACTTCTCCTGGCGTGAACGAGCCCGTGTAGATTTCTTATGTTTCTTTGAAGACTTTCCTTCTTGTTTTCCACTTCCTATTGCTCCTTCAAAGCTGTCACTCATCTCTTTACCTGAAGCAACATCTGGACTCACGTAGCTTTGTAAGAGAAAGGAAGAAAACCCCCAATTATAAAACCACACACGATGGAGTTATGCATAGGTAAGTCACACAACAGAGACTGCAAAAAAGAAGTGTACAGCTGCACTCTTTTGGCCCAAACTGAGCCAGCTACTGAAACATGGTCAGTAAGTGAACTACTCCAAGTCAGTCTGGCTACCACACCTTCTAAGAAATGGTCTATTAACATTTCTGCCAATACCACAGGGAAAGTCCCATCACTCTTAATATATCACTACATGCCCTCAATCCCTTCACTTCCCTCTCTCAACTGCACAAGTTCCTGTTTTTGTAAGGTCCGGTTTTCTCAGCTCCTGCCTGTCTGCACTCACAGCACAAGGTCTAAGCAGGGGCCGTTTATGTTTGTGGGAGATAAAGGAAAAGAGTGAGAAGTCAGTACAGCATCCTGTAGGAGACTGCCTCTCCTCTCTCTGCAGTTCTCAAGATCAGAAACAAGGTTTTATCCCACAATAATCCCAGATGACCAGCTAGCGACAGTATATTATTTTTAGCAGCCAAAACAGTTGCTGCTAACAACCTTATTGCAATATGACATGTAGAGAAAACATCAACATGCAAGTAATTTGCAGGAAATTTTCAGAGGTTCATAAAAACCATGTCAGGAAGGAACCCTGTAAGGCCATCTGGCCTATTTATTACCCCAAGGTATGATCAGCTCTGTCTAAACCAGTCCTCACCGGGGTTTGTGTAAACTGATCTTACAAGGCTCCTGTGAGATTTCATAACCTTTCTGGACAATTTATTCCTGTGTTCATTTAGCCATACAGGCATAAAAGAATTTAAGTCTAACCTGTAGATTCCTTTCTAAAACTTAAGGCTTCTACTACTTGTTCTGCACTAGCTGCAGAACAGCTTATTTCCACTCCCTTTGCAGCTACCTTGTACGTCTGACTCGTATGTTCGGAATCGAACGCATTTTGCACGTAGGACATACTCCAGATGACACCTTTGCTGCAATGGCCAGCCGCTTGACTCGTGTGCCATTACCCTCCAACTCTACAAAAGCACAACCCAGCTCCAGCGCCGAGTTACCCGTACATCTGGAAAAGAGAGACCTCCCGCTAAGACTATGAGACGTGTGCTGACACAGACTCTCCATGCTGCTGCAGTCATGACAGTCAACTTTTCAAACACAATTCTGGAACAGGCAAGTTAGAATTCAAAAGACGACTGAAAATTTGATGTTCCTTTCTACAACAGACTAGACAGACAAAATGAACTGATTTTGTCTTATATCCAGAACTAACCTATAGTCAAGAAAAATTAGATTTCACTTTCCATGCGGTATGTAAAAGCAGAAAATTCTTGGGAAAAAAGGTTCCGTTTTAAGATTGCAGGGTTGCATTGACTTGTGTCATGCTAACTTTTTTTGGTGGGGTAGAATGAAAACAGTGAGAGGCATCTTCACAGTTTATAAACTTAACTCATCTTGTCTATTCAGGGAAATAGAAAATCCTAACCCCAAAGCTTTATAATCAATAAGGACAAAGGTGGTGCTGGCTCCTGCAATGGGCAAGGCACTCCGCTGCTTATGAACACGCACTGCTCGTATCGGCCTTATCCATATCCAGCACTGAGAAATCTGGTTTAGTGCTGGTGCCAAAGCAGGAGCACGGGAGCAGCAGATGCCTGGGGAGGGGAGTCCTGCCCCGAAGCAGCAGCCACTGCTCCCATTCAGCTCCTCTCCAGTCCAGCAGCAAGCCTTCCTCTCCAGGGCTCTTCCTCACTCCTTCCCCTAAACCTTGCTGCTTCCCCTTCTGCTTTTGAGTACAAAAGCAGGGAGATGAGGGCTGGCAAAAACTGAAATTTGCTTTTGTTTCTGAGGAGTGCTGAGCTGGCTCTGGAGGTTATTTATCATTACTTCCGTCATTAGCGTTACTAGGCTCGAGTATGACCTCGTGTACTGCAAAACCACAGAACGGGCTTTGGCTGCGTGTTCTAATACTCAAAGGTATAGTTAGAACGAGTAACTCAACACACAACTCTCACCGATAGACCGTTGCCCATAACATACCTGATGAAAGACCATTACAGAAGGCGATACAGGCATATCCAGTTTATTCCCAAAGAGGGAATAAACTATATACCTAATTATATTAGCATACCATGTTTTTATACAGATTCAACAGCATCAAAACCAGGGACTGTACCACTTCAGTTACCTTAACAAAACGAGAAGTTACATGCTGAAATGAAAACTGTTGTACGTACACCAAGGCTAGGATGCAGCATCCAAACTAAAGAATTAAAAGAGTTGAAGAAGCCAAAACAAGCACGCTGCACACAGAACGTCTGCAGCTTTCTCCCTAGACATGCACCCTTCCATCTTCTCCTGGACAGCTCCAGCTATGCTTCTCTCAGCCAAGGCAAAGGCCAGGCATTTGGCCTAGCCTTGTAAAGAGAGAGAGGAAAAACAGCCTCGGGAAGGAAAACATTTCTTATGCCAAAGAGATTATAATAATACCTTTCACAGCTCTGTGAGAGAGTCTGAAGTTTGTCCTGTATTGCCTGCTCCTGCAACGTAAGAAAGAGTCATTTAAGTAAATGCATTGTATTGGCAGATGAAAAAGACCTTTAAGAAAGGTTTTGCTGTTGAGACATCAGTAATCCTAAACCATCCTGTTTAACCAATCCTTTGAACGCAGAAAAAATGTCCCATTTACCCTCCCGACATTAATTCTGCCCAAAGCATGCGGATCTGTGCACAACCACCTTTTAAGACAGAGCCACTAATCTGCTGGTTCTCTCTGCTGTTAGAGCAGAAAAGATGGTGAAAGAAACAAAACAGTTCTCACTGCAATCACAAAACTTGATTGCGGGACAACTTCACATCAGCACCTAATTTTAGTGTTGAACGGATATAAAGTATAAGCTGATTTGCTTCATTGCTTCATATAGTTTCCTGAAACATGTTAAGTATTTTCATTGTATTTGGCTTATTGTGAAAATTTCTGAGGAATGTACAAATAAAACGTAAAAATTCATCATTTTAAAACACCACCCTCACATCATGTCCTCTTGCACAATTTAAATTTTCCCTGACAGCTTCCCTCTTCACTGGTTGCAGTGCTAGGACAGACATTGATAGCGTGACTTTTGCGTCCGGTAGAACTGTTTTCACAAATTTGTGATGACACTGGCTATGGCAACTTGACATTGCCACTGGCCCTACCATAACAAACTTACCATATATGTACACAGACACACACACCTGTGTATGTATATAACTGTGCCTGTATATACACACAGCCCAAATATATTCATAAATATATATAGTTTTATTTATATATATTTATACATATATTTACAAACATACGTCTATAAAATCCTATAGACACACAGCTAGAAACAAGCCCCACTACATCTTAATACCAAAGCAGTTGGTAGACTGGAGTTAAAAGCTTAGTGGTTAACCAGTCAACCCCACTCGTTGCTTATAATGCCACACACATATGCCATGCCAAGCTTGACTGCAGCTTCAATGAAACTGCAAAATTAATGAACAGTGAGAACACAGAAAATGTATCTAAATTTTAGTAACGCACTTGATCAAGTGCCTTACAAAATCTCATTTGCCTGATCAAGTCAGATTGGTGGGGATGACAGTACTGCCACACATTCAAACAGAAGATGAGAGATAAAAAAGTTATGGCAAAGTAGCAACAAAATACAGCGTTTTGAGTATATACAGATATGAAACTCCTCTTACACCCAAGGAAACCTTAGCAATATATGTCAAAATCAGCACGGGAAGCACATTGATCAATTTGACCATCTCTGATTTTGGATTGGTTTCTTAAATTGGAAGAGAGAAGGGAGTTAACTTAGAGATGAGAGTGAAGTTTGCAGAACAGTGGTTAAATGTTCCTAGGGGTATGATAAAGTGACAGTGGGCATGAATTTCTCAGGTAATATAGGACAACTTGTATCCCCCTGCACAATAACAATGAGGTTTATTCATATTTCCAGAATCTCTAATGGGATGGACCCTGCACTGAAGGCTGTAGCCTTGGCACCAGCATTGAACCTGACATGAGCTGTGCATACAGGAAAAAAAAAGCGGTTGCACAAGGAATACTTTGAGGAAGGGATATGCCTGACACAGCCAGGCTTTACCTGGGGATTCTGCAAGTGAAGCACTAGAGACGGGTTCTACCATTTCTGCTCTATCTAACCTATAGGATGCAGAAATTCATCAGGAAACATCCTACATGATGGCATGAATATTTATTTGGCAAGAACTAGACAGGCAAAATGGGGGACTACAATCTAGTTTCAGTGCTAGCAGCAACGTTACTGAATATCCTCTGGAAGAGGAATTAAGCAGTACCTCTAATGAAATTCATAGGTGTGCTGTATAGTCAAGGCATGCGACAAATGCAAGAAAGCATGGCTTAAAACAAAAGAGATTTACTTTGAAAGGAGGGAAACTTACTTTGGGAGGAAAGGTAGCTCAGAACAGAGAGCCTCAAGATGAACAATTCTGAAAGCAGAACCCCTGAGGGACATTTCCATTCAGAAGTGGAGAGCGAATCATACTTACTGAAATCTGGTACAAATGCCAAAACCTTTGTTTTGCTTTGCTTATGAATATCTATTAAAGAGTTGAAGAGAAGGAAATGTTCTGTGACATTCTGTCAAGAGTGAAGGTTTAACAAGTATGGGAGTGGAAAGAAAAGTCAAAATAGCAAACGGGAGGAGCTGATGGTTTTATAAAGAAAAACAATAAAATTTATCTTGCTTATATGACCACTGAGAATTGGGAATGCCTACAAATACCCACAGAAACAAAAATCCCAGGGTTAGACTAGAATTCAGGCAATACAGGAGGATACAACGCTAAATGAAATGGGAATAAGGCTCAAGCTGAGGAGCATGAAGAGTTTTTACATAGTGAAGAATCAGATTGTGAAGCAGTTTAAGGCAAATGACGGCTGGTTGCACAAGTGCTTGACATTTAAAACAAGACTGGACAAAACATGAATGAAAACCTACAGAACAGCTTCTTATGGACCCACAGAACTTAAAAGAAAGTCATTTCTCTCTCTGTTCTCAGCTACAAAGAGGTACTTAAGTTCTGCTGCCTCGTTACTTCAAGGAGACATTTCACAAGGTACAACATGCAGTTTCCAGCTTTGAAATATTTGAAATAGCCATTTGCTGACCCAGAGTTGCCAGCATCTAGGACACGTGGCTCTATATGGTGAGAGGGGATAATCTCCCTTGTGAAATAAGCCCATTATTTCACAAAGGAGTAAGTAAGAAGGTTAAGGGTGAGGCTGGCGAGTTACTTCAGAGGAAACGGCTGTACCTCTTGAGACGTCTCTGTGACTGCCGGGACAGTTGAGCAGGGAGCTGGGAGCTGCTGACCCAGAGGCTGGGAAAGATCGGGCTGAAGCTGCAGCAGACCAGAAGGCTGAAGAGGCAGACAGTGATCTATGGGGACGGGCGGACTAGCTGTGGCAAGGCTGCCATGAACCTGTGAAATGCCTTCCGGAGCGACGCGGGGAGGCAGCAGCTCGGGCTGCAGCTGCAAAGGCGGTGACATGACTAGCGACGGTTGCACAGGCAGCACGGGCACCTGGGCTCCAGCTTCCAGAGCATACTGCGTGTGTCCGGTAATCGGCTGTAACACAACGGACAGCTATTAAAACAAATCTCTGCTTACTGAGAGACTAAAACTCTACTTGCGACTTACATGACAAGGTACTAAAGCCATCGGAGTTCACGGAGAAAGGATTAGAATTCTGCCGTGAGATGGTATTTGTGTGGGCTCTGCTTGGAAAAGTACCCGCTTCAGAGTTTAACTTGCTTTGAAGTGACCAAATAAAAATCTAAGGATCCTTCCCGTGTCATTATGACAACGTGTGTATTGCTCAGGTGCTATTTAATTTGTAGAAACAAAACCGTATTTTGCTAAGAAATTAAAATTCATCGTCCTGAATAGTTTGCTCTGCTTTCAAGGAGCCTACACCACAATGTCCCCGCAGAGAAAAATATACTCTACCCACAATCTAAAGTAGGATTTCTAAAAAAATCAGTTTTACATGTAGAACCAGCAGCTGGTACAGACCACACAGTTAACTCTTCTTTACTGAATATACACCAGTGTCTTACGGAAGACATTGTTTTCCATTTAAACATTTCAAGACACAACTTAACTCTTGATGTGCTAAGCCCCAAGGCTCCAGTCCTGCAGACGCTTCCTTGTGTTACGCACACAGAGGAAGTTTCATTTATCTCAGTGGATTTCTTCAGTGCGTTAAAATAACTCGTGTGCGTAAGCTCTTTGTGGGAACTAGACTGATGCGATTAGATGCCAACTACCTTAGAGACTATGTTGTTGTTCTGCATAACAGTTCTTTTGGGGTTGGGGTTTGTTTTTTTTTTTTGGTACATTTAAGAACAGAACATTCTCCTTTTAGGTACATCAAGTATTTTTCCAAGGGGACTGAGCTTGTGAGAAGAGGAAAAAGGAAAGAAAGGAAAATATGGAAGAAAAAAAAAAGGCTTTTTAGTACTAGGTAAAACTCTGCCTGATTTGTACTTTTTTAAAGTATCACCACCTAGACATTTAGACTATTTGGAAAACATATTTAAAAAAGTGAAGACTCAGAAGATAACTAGGCCACACAATTTTGTTACTGTATGAGCCGAAATTATCATTCCAGGTTTTAATGTGGATAAAAATAAAGATGCGGTGTGCTTCGCAACACAACAGTTACACGACTGCCTAAGTGGAGGTCAGCAGACTAGCAACGGTGGTGTACACTGCAGAACAGCAGTGAATTTTTTTTTTTTAATTTTACATAACTAGAATAATTCAAAAAATGTTTCAATGTGTAATTTACCCAGGCAAAACTGAGGTGCTAAGCGTCAACTGCCAAAAGAGCAGTGCATTGGAAAGCCTTTATTTACAGAAATACCTCTCCATTAAAAGTACTTTAAAACACAGAACAATGTATTTTTGAATACTCCTCTGCACTCGTCCATTTTGTTTGTTATAGCTATTTTTAATGCTAAAAAAATACTATGCAATTCTTCCATACATATTTGATAGTTCATGACTGTGTCAGGACTGTTTGGGAATATCAGTTTCCAGTTTTGCTGTTTGCCATGCTTGCTGTGCGTAACTGGCCTGATTCAACTCCCCCTAAAGCCACTGGAAACACTATGGCTACTGAGCTCTGGTTCAGCGCTGCCTACATTTTCACAAACAATATTTCTGTACCAAATACATGGCTGAAGAGGGAAATACAAACATGATGTACTACTGTGAAGATGCCATGATATGGCAGGCTGAAATGGGATGTTATGAATTTTAATCAATATGTTACAGCAAAGTGATGTAGTAGAACACAATTTTCAAGAATGCTATTATTTACAGATTTAGTGCTCTCTCCTGCTTGGGTCAGACTGCATTTCATGTTGTCATATCACAGGCAATAGAAGTATTTACACACTCTGCCAACAAGTCCTGAACCAGTTCTCTTGTAAATAGTGCTAATATTAGAAGCTCCACTTTGTGCTTCATTTCTTTTAAGGGGGAAAGGGTCTGCAGCTATAATTCATTCTTGTCTGATAGGCCTCTTCCATGCAGTTTTCTGGAGTTGTTACCGAATGGCCATTTCCCTTTTCAAGCAATTCTACAGCAAAACAATTCTATCAGCTCGCCCATACTTTGCCATGAGCGCACAACAGCCTACGTGTGCATCATGCACAGACTGCAGTAAAGGTCAAACATTGGAACAGGCTGCCCAGGGAAGTGGTGGAGTCACCATCACTGGAGGTGTTCGAAAAACATGTGGACATGGCACTTTGAGACATGGTTTAGTGGGCATGGTGGTGTTTTGGGTTGATGGTCGGACTCCCTGATCTTAAAGGTCTTTTCAAACCTTAAGGATTCTGTGATCAGCATGGCTGTGAGGCTGCTGCCAAGGCGCAGCCTCTTCTCCTGCCACAGGAGAATGACGGCTCATGCTTCTTTCATATTTGAGATGGGAAAAGGAAGAGGGAATTCAAGAAGTGCTCATCTGCTCACTTTCCAAAGCCCGTTAGACTATTCCCTATATCCCCTCCATATTCACCTGTCCTTGGATTAAGACCTCACCTGCTCCACCTCACTTCACAGCTCTAGCAACCACCTCCAGGACCGAGGTCAAGAAGCTAACCAAACATCTTAAGACCAAGGGAAAAAACCTCCCCGCTGCGTGTTTACACGGGAGCGAGCCCTGGGAATCCTGCGTTGCTGAAGTAACCACCCTACGGTCCAGCCCCACGCCCAGCGCATTACCTGGTGACCAGCCCCAGGCGCAGAGAGAGTCTGTTCTGGAGGATGGATTATGCTTGGCTGAAGCGACTGAGGAGGTGGAGGCTGCTGCGGCTGGGATACGGCTTGCGTGCTCTGCGCGTGATGGGGAGAGGGCGCGTCGCTCTGAATGATCTGCTGGAAGGTGGTCTGGTACACCTGCTGCTGGGGGAGCTGCGGCATCCCGTGGTGCGGCGGCAACGCTGGCACTCCCGGCGGAGCCACGGCAAGCAATGGTATCGTAGCGGCCGACATATTTGGCACTATTGTTTGGCAGGGCAAGACCAAAGAAGCCACGGTGGTATGAGGAAGATTGACTGCCTGCATGGGAAGGGCGGGGGAGTTTGGTGCCATAGGCAGAGTGGGGTTCATGGGGAGGCTGGGCAAAATCACAGCTGGAGCAAAATACTGAGAAGGAGCAGGTATGGGGGGCACGTTTGCAGCAGGTATATCAGAGAGGTTTGGAGGAAGGCTGTCAAGTCCTGCCAGAGGAGTAATTGCAGGAATGACAGGAAACTGAGGAATCTGAAAAAAATATAATATCACATAAATTGCAAGTGCTTTCACTGATGGTACAAAGTAGTTTCATTCGCCATACAAGTATGTAAAAATCACCTGTGCCATGATGATAATTATGTCTGTCTGTTAATTACTTCCATTCATTTCTTGAGGTTTATAAACAGTAACAAAAACTGATTTATGCTTAAGTCTTTAGTAAAAGAGAAAAAAAATTGTTTCGGAGGGATGTTTTTATACCTTAGAAGCTTAATACTATTTCTAACACTAGCTTGAAGCCTTCAAGCAACACACTAATCAGAAGCTGCTTTCATTTTAACAGAAATGAAAAGGAATCGGACCAGACAAAATGCAAAACTCTTTCATGCAATTCAGTAAGACAATTTAAAACCCTTGTCTTTAAACAGGCTAGCTGCAACCCAGGCAGCACGGAAGGTCCCATAAGTTTTTTACAGTCAAAACCTCCCAGTGACATAGTAGACCATAACTACACTGTCATCGCAGAGACAACTTGCTGCTTCCCTTTGGCGCAAGCTGCTTCACATCATGGTGGCTGTCACTAACAGCACCAACAAACCCTTCCAGGCCAAGGAAAGGGTCTGTCCCCGCTACTGAAAACAGAAACAGGACTGAGAGCTAGGGAGGGGAGCGGGTGGGTGGTGGAGAAAGTGGTGACGTCAGGAGCTCAGAAAAAAATGGACAACTTCTCATGCTCTTAAGCCTGGGGTGGGGAAGAGTATGCCAGAGGAGAAGATGCAAAACAAAACAAAAAAACCAAGAATGCAGTTATTGCAATTTTGTAACTGCCATTAACTGGATTCTGTAGGCATGACACAGGATTACTCACAAAGGAGATTTTTGCTTTACCAAACAAAAACAAATACGAAAGCAATATATAGGAATTAGGATAAAGCTATATTCTTACGGACTAATTAAATTGGCATGCATTCAAAATAGCCACACAAAACCCACAAATCACGTTAATTATTAGCTGGAAAGCTTTCCTCAAATGGATGTATTCACAAGCAGTTTTCCAAGACATTACCTGGGAAGGGGCCACTGGCGGAAGCTGCGGCACGGTTGAAATCTGAAGGGGTTTTAGTGGTGTACTGGTAGCTGCCACCTGAGAGGTCTGGGGCTGGTACTGGGGTAGCAGATGGGTTGCAGGCTGGATTGGGCAAACTGGCTGGCTGGCAAGCACCTGCTGCAGAGAAGCTTGCTGTGATATAGGCTGCTGCTAGGAAAGAAAAGAATAAAAATAGGTTATAGCCTGAATATTACAAAAGAACCAGCTCGCTGGACACAGCCACCTGTTTCTCCCTCTAGTTCAAGCCATGCAGTCAGAACACGACTACCGCTCGGCGCAGGGACGGTTTATAGAAGAGAAGGGTGCTCCCAATTTAAACACCGTACAAGAGTCTATGTTTAAAGCACATTTAAATGCACGATGCATTACCTGAAAAGACAAGTTCTAACTGTCTTGGAAAGGTTATTTGTAATGACTCAGACTCTTTAAATCCCAGAGGTTGTTCTAGTTGGCCCTGTAAAATAACCTAACTTCAAAAGATTCCTACTATGCAGATTACACCCAGCTAATCTTGGCATTCAAAAGCCGACTACTTAAAATGTAGCACGCATTGAAATATACACTTATTATCCGAGACATGAATAAAGCACAATAATTACAGTAAAAGCTGGATCCCAGTTATTTCTGAGGTGCTGTAATAACAAATGTGGCAGCCAAAAAAGCAGTTTTACCCTTCCAGGGAAAACAGTGCTCCACTGGCCTGCCAGATTTTGTACAGAACAGAAACAAAAAGTTGCATTAAAGCTGAAAATAATCAGTAACAAACTTTTGTATTTTCCATGCTACCACTATCTCCTTCTTCAGTTCCTCTAATTAAAGGTGCAAGTACTTCAAAAAAATCTTCTGTTTCAGAAGCATGGCACCAAGGCACCACGTTGGCTCTGGACTGACCTGCCTTGGGACCGCAGGATTGATTGCTTCACCCGGGCTCTGCAGCACAAAGAACCTAACACTGTGCCCGATGGTCAAAAGGTAACTTTAAAATGAATAGCCAAGCATTTTAGTCTTTCATCTTCGCCACTTCCACCGTATATCAATTTTGTAATATTTTGCTCTGCACTTTTTTAGTAGCAGGATTCTTCAACCACTTTTTAGGTAATAATACAATAAAACTGTAGAAGATGTATCAAGGAAGCAGGATGCCATTCACTCTTCAAGAGCTAAAATTCAACCACGACTGATAAGTTTCCAATACAAGGATCAGTGAACAAAACAGTATTTGGCAACTGGTATCGAGTGTCTGGGGCTGAATGCCCCAAGCAGGAAACGACACGCTGGAGATGGTACTGAACAACTCTGCACAGTACCCGCAGCGTTTATTAGTCCTGCCCAATTATTCATCTTGCCACATTAAAGAAAAAAAAACAATGTCATGGCTCTGTATTGCAGTTTCTGCCATTCCAGGCTTTGGGAAAGCAGGAGCATTTACCCAATTAAAGCCCCAGACTCGAGGGAATGGCAGCACAGACGCAAACATGCAGCTCCGCAGCTGGCCTGGCCTCGCTGATGAAACAGAGCAAGCAGGCTGAGATGGAGCCCACCTGAGGCATTGGGGGGACCCCACTCATCCCACATGGGAAGTCCTTGCCAGGCCCAACCAGCTCCAGGAGCAGAAGAGTCACAGGCACACGGTGCTGGAGCCAGTAAACCCCGCTCGGGTACCTCGGCATCCCTGGCTGGGTTAACGTGCAGCTCAGACAGGCTGCCCACAGGTGACAGAGGGGTGAGCATGCTGGCCACAGGCTGCTGACCCACCTTTGACTCAAGAAGACACTGCCTTAAAAGCAGAAAAACTGCGCTCAGAACTAAGTAGCTTTCTAAAGCCACCATTTCAAGTTCAACTTTTGTTTTACAAAATGCTTGTGAATTGGATGATACACAGGGAAGGGAAAATATCTAAATGCATTATCGTACCATCACCTCATCATAACCCTAACATTACAAATGCACAGATACTCAAATTGGAAGAAAAAAAAATAATGAGGAGATTCAACATTGATCCAATGTGTCCAAGCCATCAGCAAACCTTCATACAAGATCAATACATTTCATTCTGCTAGGCAGATGCATTTTCTCACCCTGATTTCCCATTCTTTTGTTGACCTGCCCTACAGTTCATTTACAAAAGACTGCAGATCTCCACTGCTCAAGGAATCGTGCCTGCAGACTCTGGGAACACCAGACCTACTTCTGAGGCACACAGGTGCTCTGGGAAGTTCTGCACAGAAACTTTATCAAATTACCTATTTCTGTAACAATACCACTGTGAAAAGTCAATCTTTTTTTGGGCTTCCTGGCAAGATTAGCAAAGACAGACGAGTTATTAAATCCTTTTACTATCAGGGACAGAATTATTTCAAGAGCCAGAAACACTGTGAGGAAAGGGCATGCAAAAGAAATTGAGCAAGTTGGGCAAATATCCTATTCTAAACCAGTATTTACTCATGGGGGAAAAATAAACAACAGATTTTGAACTGTCAGCATAAAGCTCCAGAGGCCACTAGAGAGATCTGTGCAACTGGTGAGGTCCTAAATCTGCATAAGCATAATATTTTTGGCTGAGAGAACCATGAGAATATTGCTTCCCACTAGAAAAAAAAAACCCTTGATGTGACAAAACTTCACATAAGCATATGTTTTCTGAGACCACCAAATTACATTGTTCCTATACTGATTCTTACAGAAGAATAGGGCATGTTAAAAAAAAAGTAACCTGGGAGATAAGCATTGCTAACTCAAAAAGGTTTGGAGAGGTATCATACATGCCAGCCACAAAGCACACAGCCACTCCCCAGCCCCATCAACAGCTTCTACTGAAGGAAGCCAAGCTTTTGGTAGAATCACAAAAATCGAGCCACAGATCACCAGGTCGTACAGGTCTGCGGCCGCATTCCCCACGGGCTGACACCACCTCTGCACAGGGAGGCAACTGCAGCCGCCGCAGCCGCCCCTCAGAGGCTCGAGAGGGGCATTTTGTAAATACCTTTAAGGAACACAGGCTTTGGGGGGAATTTGATAATTCAAAATGCACAAGGAAGTCCTATTTGGCGACAATTCGGAGAGAGGCAGACTCTTCTGTCAGAAGATAAACCTACCAGCTGGATGCCCGTACTGTACTATATTTAATGTGCACGCACAACTCAAAAAGCAGTATCGCCGAGGTTTCAGACAGAATTAACACCAGGCAACAGGAGTCTCTTTCTAACCTTTTAGAAAGAGGTGCCAAACAATAATGCAATAGGTAATAAAAAACTATTTGATTTTTAAGGACCAAGATAGTAACATTGAAATCAATGTAAGGCCTCAAGCCGGTGCTGTTGAGCGACACAATGGAAGGTAAGTCTTAAACTTAAAGACGTTCCAAGGTATCACACAACGATTGTCCTCAAGCCCGTTGCTCTTCCATTCCTTAACCCCAACATCCTTTGCCTCATCCCTAAGTCTCTTAAGTGGCAGCTTAATAGTTTCGAATGCCTCAAACTCACCACAGGTATCGGTTGGAGCAGAGCATGGGTCAGGAACGGGTTGAGAAAAGCACTTTTCGGCAGCAGCCAAGCTCTTACCTGCTGGCCGGCCAGCACCGGCTGCGGCTGCCCCAGCTGCAGGGAGGCGACGGTGGTGGGCTGGACAACAGGGAATGGCATCGCTGGCTCCTGGTAGTGCTGGGGCCGCTGGGACACCACCGCGGGCGCAGCCTGAACCGCGGGGAGGCCAGGCTGCAGGAGGGAGAGCACTGCTTTAGAGAAGAGCAACTCTCATGCTGAGAGCCTCTACAACTGTTCATCAAGAATATAATTGCAAGTAAATAGTCTACTCAGTACTTGGTTCAAAACAGAGGGGTGGGGGGCAGAATTGAACAATTATCTGCAAGGAACGGAAAGTTACTTAATCTAAAAATGTGGGGAAAAGTCAGCAAATTCCAAATAAGACATCCAAACTGCATTGCATTTCTTTCTGGAAGCAAGTGTGCAGACCGGTAAAACCACTGAAAGCACATACACAGTGACTGAGAATATACCAACAGCAACAACAAGCTGTTAACTGGGTGAAACAGAGATGTACCTTCACAAATTTCACAATTTTATTTTTATAATTCCATAAAGAATCTTTATCTTCCAAAAAGCAGGTAATTTACTTGAAATGGATGCCAAGAGAACAAATACAGAAATGAGAAAAATTAAAGCCACAGTGGAAGTGAAAACAGAAAAATTAAAAGAAAATCAGGTAAGATTTGTAGCAACAGGAGTTCTCTAAAACTTCAGTTCAAAGTAGATAAATTAAAAATACATTATTATTATAGTATGTTGGACTGGGGCTCATAAGCCTAGAAAAAAGCTACTACAGCTCCAGTTATGTGCTTGTCATCTTGGTGTATAATTTCCCAGATAAATACAGTGATTTTTTTTTTCTTGAAAAATAGAAGGTTTTGAGTCACACTTTCGTTTGCTGTGTTTGTTGAGATTTTCAAACCTTGGAATTTTTTGCCTAGGTTATCATAGGAAGAAAAAAATATATGGACACTCCCTCAGCAAATAAAAATCTATGAGATATATTTTGCTTGTGAATAAAGGTTATCTTTCCAAATCCTCAATCACTGAAAAAGTAACGCATTTAGGTTAAAATTACTGAAACCTATCAATGAAACGAATGAGTCTGCTCTAAAACAGTATGCTGCACAGCTCAATGTAATAAAAAAAATTCTGCTCAAGATGTGCCTTTTGAGTGTTATATTTGGAGTTGTTAAGATAGTGCTTCAGGTGAACAAGAAACGAGGAAGGATGCATCTCAGGAGATGTATGCACATAGGAAAGGTGGTTTCCACAGTGGAGGGAGCCGGCTACAAGTGCCAAGGATGAATTTTTTTCCTTCAGGTAAGTGGAGTTGTGTTTCAATGCATTCACAAAATATAGTTCATAATTTCTTGCAGGCGTTTTGGAAAATATCAGGTAAAACCAGGGAAAATGAGGCACTTCCCAAGTACTTAGGGTAAATCTGGATCAAGCAGGAAAAAACCACTGGTTCTGGATTTTATTTTTTCTTCTCTTAAGTCAAACAGGATGAAACAAAAAAATTAACCTACCACATCATTACTGTCATTTTTACTAGGCAGGTTGCTTCCACTGCTCAGGATAGCTGCAGTCACCAGCTTGCTCTCCACCAGCGGTGCTTTGCCAGTGCGCACTTCACAACAGGGCTGGGACCGTCCAGGCACGCTGGCTTCTCCAACATCGGAGGATTCAGAAGGCAGAATGTTTTCTGCAACTATTGCAGATCTCGTGGGAGAAGAACTGGTCTTTTCACTAATTATGTATTGTAAAGATTCATGTAACAGAGGCAGGTCTAAACTTCTGCCACATGGCCTGCTTATTTGGGGAAGAGGTTGAGACACTGAGTTTCCTGGGAGTTGGCTACCTGGAGAGCGAACACTTTCAACAGTCATCAAGACTTCTGACAAGTTTTGATCTTGGCCAGACTGAAATAACAGGCCAGGCACATCTGACAAGACTCTTGAGGAAACATTAGCTCCGCTGGGTTTGCAGAGGTCCCCACTGCCGCCAGAGGTGTGCGTGCTGCCTCTTCTCTAGTCTGCAGATACGCATTTGCCTCTCCCTGGCTCTTGCAGAAGGGACGTTGGAGCCAAAGCCACAACGGGGTCGCTGTGGCAGCGAAAAGCAGCATGAGCACTGTGGGTCACGTGTGATGGGTGCAGGCTGGAACTGGAACACTGTGCTGCCACAGCTTCTGAAGAACGTAACACACTCATGTTGTGTCTCTCACTGGAAGCACCTGAAGATTTGTGTTCACTTGCATGTGTTTGTTCTTGCACCAGTAATTCCATTAATTGCTTTTAGTCAAGGTCATAGCAGCACAAAAACGGGAGCAAGTATGAACATCTGACTGGGCTACCAATGCCTGATTATGGAGCCTCAGTAATGGACATACGTCACCAACTCTGCGCAAGATAAAATTCAAACCCAGAGCCAGAAGAAAGGCAGTGACTGGATGTGTGACCTTTGTCACAACTGGGAGGAACATCAGACCCAAGAGGCTCTTGAACAAATGAAGGAACAATAACGTGTGGCTACACTGACAGTGAACAAAACAGAACAGTTCTCAAGTACACACGAGTTTAATCATTGCAGAGCTACTAATGTAGTTCAGCAACAATGGATTGATAAGAAGCTTTTTTACGGAAAGTATGACAGCTGCCAGTGAAGCATTTCTTCAGAAAGTAAATACAGCTAGCCGTACACCATCTACTAAGCACACGTTTCGCATCAACTAGCAATGTATTACTGCACAAATCACCATCGATAGAGGTGAGCGAGGAATACATAAAGCAAGCACTGGAATCCATACCTACTAAGAACAAGAGTATAAATGAGCCATGAAGTATGATCTAGGATACAAAATGATTTCGAAAAGCTTTAGACTTACTCCTGAGGGCTGCTGGTAGTGCCCCAGCTGCTGAAGACTATGGGGCACAGCCTGGCTCTCACTCAGAGGCGGGCTATACACCCGCTGGATAGCAGGAGGTACTTGATCAGGCAGAGACGAGTAGATGACGCTTTGCTGGCTGCTTTGGGAGTCTGAATAAACAGTAGACCCCTGGCCACTGTCAAATGTGCTGTCAGCTGAAAGAACAACATTTTTTAATTAAAAACTCAACAACTCCAAACGTTCAAGTAATGATTTTAGAGCAAGGTCAACAGTGGTTTATGTAATTAGCATTTTTACTACCCTAGCCCTTTCCATTATATAAATAAATTCTACGACACAAATGTTATCTTCTACAAAAGGCACATACCGCTTCTCTTAAGCCAAAAATCGTCCCCATAGATCTCAGTGCACGATGATATTTTAGGCACATTGGTATCTCCTTTAAAGGGCATAAGGTTAACATTAAGAATTGCAGACATTTATAGATTTTGTAGGATGAAAGGAGAGGAAACCCCAATTGTAATGTTCATAGCAGATCACGGAGTCTTTTAGAGTTCGATCTCCCAGGGATGCACTGACTTTAACACCTTCTTTTATTGCAGCACTGAAAATTACAAATTCTTTACATCGTACGCCTTAATAGTTCAGCAAATCATACCCTACTTGAGTATATAGCAATACTTCCAGACAAAGAACAGATAACAAAATGATTTGCAGGTCTACAGTCATTTGGGAGTACCATTCAGAGCTCTGTCGGAGTTTCTCATGCAGAGTCTTTGCCCAGCTAACCTGCAGAATTGCACAGCTACTGCGCAAGCATCGTTATCTTTTGTCCAATGGAAATAGAACTGTATTACTGATTTTAAAATGACTTTTGAAGCCTGGAAAGTACAGGTGCCCAGTTCTTCTTCAGCATAAGTTACTGTTTTCTTCATTTGAGAAATGAAACGAGACAATCAAGACTGCAGCTGTAACTATCCAAAAGACAAATAGCTTGTAACAGATTTAAAATTCAAAATGGAAAGAAAACTAACACAGTTACCAAAAAAAGGCTTAAATTACAGCTAAGTTTAAATGCTGTTTCTTTTTCCAACACTTTCCATCTTCTCTTTTTTCCATGCTCCAAATAAGGTTTTACTTATTTGGCTTTTAAGTAACAAATTATTTTTTAATAGCACCAGAGATTACATTTCTCCTCAGTATTCACAAACTATTCTCCCAACTGTTTTTATTTCTAAATTAAACTCCCCTCTATATTTATTCAGCTCATTTCTAAAAAGAGTCAACATGGCCCTACTCTAAGACGACAGGGATTTCTGCTGCATACACCCTTCCATTTTATTACAAACAATTATTTAAAACCTCAAAGAAAAAAAAGAGTATGAGGGTAGAGCACCAAAGTAAAAGCTGACAGTCATATTCAGATTTTAATAGAACAGTGTGCATTACTCACATTAAGTTAATTTACATTTTTACATTTGACCTCAGATTATTATATGAATTGGTAGAACAATAATTTATAGAGGTCTTAGGCCTAGCATCACTAAGAAAATGTTCAAAGACATCTGATAGTGAATTGCCAAATAATACCAAATATTGGTGAAAAGTTGAGGAGGGGTAGGAAATAAACTGGGGCGTTTATATTTAAGATAAAATTCTGCCAAGTCCCAACAGAACCACGGGAAGCATGAGTAGCCTCACTGTACCATTGGAAACAAAAGGAGTCATAATTACAGTGTTTCTCAAAAGAATTCGATAGCATGAAATAAATATATGATCCAAGAAAAGTGAACTGAGATCAATTTAGCTTCAGAAAAAAAGCTTTGTAAATACTGCAATATTCTAAGTTATGCCAATATGGCCATTTCTCATATCTTGAAATGATTTGTTTTCTTGTAGAGGCATGCTTGGTTTTTTTAGTATTCAAAGCAGACCTCTGTATAGCAATTTATACAATACCTGAATTAAAGCAGCAGCTGTCTCTGCTAAAGATAATGCACCTTTAATTTAAATACGCTTACACAGAAGTCCAGAACAGTAAACCAGAAACGTTATGATAATAGTTCAGTAGCAAAATACATACGCCAGATTTTATTGGAAAAAAAGGGCTTAGAAAAGAACTCACAAAACTTCAAATCTTCCAAGCTAAAAATATCTGGCAACATTTCCTTCAAGATGGTTAAAGATACAAATAGAATAAGGTTTCAATACCAGAGCTTGACTCTAACAAAGGTTGATTTTAGGGGACAGAGACAGGGACAAGTTACTGTAGGTAAATAAAAGCTACTTCCTCGTGCCTTGCCATTTGCTGGAGGTTAAGTCTGATGCTCAGAAATAAAATGAAAAAACAGTAAGTTCTGCAAGCAAAGCTAGGTAGTTTCTTATTCAGAGATAGACCAAAATCAGTGCTTGGAATTAAACCAGAAGATATAAATCCATGCATCTTGAAACAGCCCAGTGATCACTCTCGAATCAGCCCCCAGCTGAATGTACAGTTGGCAGATCATCAGCTTGTAGCTACCAGGGCCTCGACATACAAGAACAACTACCTACTCTGACCCCACGTAACGAAGACCAAACAACCTCCTTGCTTCAAGCCCATGAGCTCAGGACAACATAGAGAGCCCGGAGGAACAGAGACAGTACCGGCACCATGACCTAAGGACCCCAGTAATGTCAACCCACAAGGGCTGGTGCTCCCAACACGTGTGACCAAACCACAGTTGAGATTACCCACAAAACTGCGAAATCTTGAATTACATCATATAACATTCAGAGATGGATTTCTTTTTTTTTTTTCCTGCTGTAGACCTGTGTATGGCTTCACAAGAAACTCATGCAAGCCATCAAGAGTAACTCAAAACACAAGAAACTGCAGTGCTTTGGTTTCAGCAAGGTCTGCTTTTGAATAAAAATCTCCACATTGCCAACATCATTTGAAAAAGCCACCAGTCGCTCTGACCAGTTTGGTGCCAATTCAACTTCTGCAGGCTCTGAAATTGTGTTTCACACAAACAGTGTTGATCCCACCATCTGGCACAAAAAACGTGGTTTTTGTGTCTAGCAGCAGGTGTCCTTGCTTTTCTACCTACAAATATATTAAGTTTTGCGCATTCACTGCTACTGAAGGAGGAGCAGTCTCTATATAATATAGTTTTTGAAAGAAATAAAGTTTCAGGAAAATTGTTACACATCTGTCCAAGACACTTGTTTTCTTTGAGCTACCGTGCTCAGAACCTGCAGAGCAGTTCATCTCACCGCTGAGCTCCGCTTGTCCTTGATTTTTACCCTTGGACATTCATCACCGTGTGTACACAAAACCAACATGAGACTTACATGCAACAGATGTGATGCTGGTGGGCATGTTTTGCTGAAAGGGATGCTGGTCTGCCTCAGGCTCCTCTGACTCAGACAGGACATGGTGACCAGTGTGAGAAAGATAGGTGACTTGGACCTGCTGTGCATGCGGTGTCTTCAACTTCTCCAGACATTCAGAGTCCCGACGTTCCTCTGACTGCACCCTAGGCCAAATTCTCTCTCTTCTCCATAGTATTAATGCTACTCTGTCACGTATTGACTTTGCAACTATCTTGAGATCATTTTCATGAAAAAATCCAGAGTCAATCTGCAGAGGAGGCACAAACATAGCAAAATTATGTGCACATGGGTAGGCATGCACACGTGCACGCAAACACATATTGAATCTCTTCCTAACAAAGAAAACATCAGTTTGAAATAACATGAATTACATATTTATTCCTCACAAGAACAGGAACTCAAAAGCTCAATTGGTTTTTTTTGAATAAAACTTCTATCCCTAATGCATTTTAAAATGGTATGTAATTTCTAAGACCTGAATATATATTTGGTCAATTTATTCACCAGTTAACATCCATTGAGAAGAGAGCAACTTTGACTGCAGACAGGTTCTTTATTTTTCCCAGAAAGACTAGCAATAGTCAAAAGAGGAAACAAACATCTTTGTAAAATGGTCTTTGAACAATGCAACTGGACTAAACTATACTACCCTTAATCAGAATTTATTGCCTTAACCTTTCTAGTATACACAGTTCCCCAAATTGCCATGTTTGATATCACAGCAAGTCATGAAGGAAAAGATGTTAAAAGAATTTCATCTCAAATTTAACTTGTCTTAAAAGGTAAAGTCAGTCAGTATTGATTGACTTTTTATAAAGAAAAAGCCTGTCACTGAGGCAAATGCAGACATTTGACTGAAAAGGGGACCAGGCTTTCTCAAAATTCAACTGCTCAACAGATAAAATGGAAATTCATCTTTGTGCCATTTGTTTGCATAATCTCCTACAGCATAGGGTATAAATTTCAGTTTAATAATGACCTACTAGAGATTTGCCTGCTTTCCCTA